TGTTCTTTGAATTTTTCCAACATTGCTTATGAGTTCAGGTACTGGCTAGATCTGAGAGGTGGCTGGGTTGATCTATGATCTGTCTTTTGACACAGGACTATGGAAGGACAGTAAAGGCAAGGTTTGTCGATATAGACAATAGAATTACCTAAGGGACAAAAGCCCAGATTATCCAAGACACTCAGAATCTATTTTATATTTAATTTTTTTAATTCATTTTACATACCAGCCACAGTTCTCTCTCTCATCCCACCTCCCGCTCCCCCTAGCCTTCCCCCCAACCCACCCCCCATCCCCTCCTCCAAAAGGAAACTCAGAATTTTAAGATTGAGTTAAATTAGGTTTATTGGACTAGGCATCAGTAAGTGGACACGATAGGTGCTGGAATAATAGGAGGCCAAGATAGGAATGGAGATCTAGCATAAATTTTCAGAAATGAAGATTCTGGTCTACAAGAAGTACCAGAATTTGCATGAAGGTGATGGTCAAGGAGGAATATACAAAAGGTCAAAGGCTTTGACAACTCCAAGGAAACAAGACACTAACTTCAGCAAAAGGTGCACATACTGTTAGAAGATCTTTAAAAGCCCTTATCCAAATTCAATCATAATAGTGTATTAAGTTTCAGCCTTCAATAAATCTTGGCCAAACAGCTGTCAACATAATGGAATTACTCACCTAGTTTTGAACCACTTATCTTAAATTCTACAAAGCAGGCCTGAAAATAAGCCAATGGTGTTTCATGTTTAAGCAATAGTTATTTGTATTTTCTTGAATTTATTTTAGATGGTTAAAAAAGATTTGTCAAGGAATGGAAACTTTGTTCTCTTATATAAACACAGGTGATCAAAACTCTTGCAGGAAGAGTAAAGGATGTAATGAACACTGTCTTCATGATGATCCTTTAAGCACCTTTTCATTGCATAGGCATAAAGCTAGTGTTTTCACCTGGGGTTGCTCCATTACCCCATCTTCCTAGGCCTAGCAGCATATCTGCCATCTAAAACCTTGGAAACACTCATGTTAATGTAGTTTTGGGTAGGTTATGTGATCACACATAATTTACAAATGTCATTTTGTATGGGGTTTCCATTGCTGTTACATTTATTATCCTATCACCAACTTCTAGTGAAACAGCCTCTTTCATTTCCTCTCCAAAATGTATCAGAGTCAAGACAAAAGTGCTCTTTCATTCCCAATGAGGAAGTGTCCCGATGATTGGCTCTAAGGATGTAACAGGCTCAATGAGTTACAGACAACTGAATCCAAATTTCCTTAGCTTTATCTCTCAGCCTGTGTTTTGCATCTACTGAAAAACTACTGAATCTGAGAGCTACTTCCTGAGCAGTCACACGCCAGGTTTGCCTCCTCAACCCTTGGCCACTGCACTTGGCTTCTCCAGCAGGGCTGAGCTTGTTTTGTCTTTCCTTCCTCCTCCACTCTTTCAGGAGGCTTTGAGAGGCACCTGTGACTTAGGACTTGGCTTTGATATTTAGATATATACTTTTCTGAAAGAGATTAACAAAAACCAGAATAATGACTGTGAAGAGCAACCCAAAAGTTGTAGGAAGAAACAAATGTGTATTGGATAGCATGTGGGATTAGTTTTTAAAATATTTAAGTATTATTATATGTCCAATCCTATTAAGGTTTATTTTCTGTATAGGAAGTCATTACTATGATAATTTGTCTTTACCCTAATGACATTATGTAGCAATTCACACATTGCCCTTTACTTCCTGACTATCTAGGAAGCTGTAATCTTTCATTTGACTGTTAACTTTCTGTTTTTTTGTTTTTCTTATTGTGATGAAGTAGCCCACGCCTTTAATCCCTGCACTCAGGAGGCAAAGACAGTTAGATCTCTGAGAGTTCCAGGCCAGCCTGGTCTACACAGCATGTTTCTGGACATCCAGGACGACAAAGGGAAAACCTGTCTTGAAAAACCAAAAAGAAAATTGTTTGTGAACATGATATGAGTGTGGAGGTGCATGTGCCATTGGCATGTGTATGGAAGTTAGAGGTCCATAGTGGAGTCAGTTTTCTATTCTCACCTGTATGTGGGTTCCAGGGATTGAACTCAAGTTATCAAGAGGCTTGCACAAGTCCCTTTACCAACCAAACCATCTTGACAGTCTTTTGTTTTGATTTTTAAGGGAGAGTCTTTCTATTCAGACCAGGCAGATGTGGCTTGATCTTCCTACATCAGTTACCCAGGTGCTGAGACTGCAGGTATGAACCACCATGCCCTCCTTATGTGGCTGTTATTCTTGAACCTGGTGGCAGTCAATTTTCCCAGGCATTTTGTTATGAACATGTTAAGTGAAAAAAAAAGTTTAATAAATTATATTTTGGGTTTGGGAATGTACCTCGGTGGGTAGAGTATTTGCCAAGCACATATGAGACCCTTTTTGGTCTCTAGCACCATATAAAATCTGTAGTACTGGTACATACCTGTAGTCTGAGGACTCAGGAAGTAAAGGCAGGGTTGGGGGTGGGGGGGGATTCAAGGTTCTTTTCAGCTACCTAACCAGTTTGAGGCCAGCCAGGGCTACATGAGACCTTATACAAATTGCTTTTGCTGAATCTTTTCATCACCAAAACTTCATATTTTCAAATGAAGAAACAAAAATCTCTCATCATTTTTCACACTGGCTAAGAAGCTGTATGTAATGCTATTTTGCAGTTTTCCTAAACCCAACACAAGTAAACTTGAGTACTGTCCTTCTGTTGATCCAGTGCAGATTGAATAGAAGGTATTTGTATGATCTCAGATGGCCTGTAATTCAAGAAACTTGGTATTAACAGTCATTAAACATTTCATGACATGATCAGGCATGGGATATAGGCACCATAAATGGGCCACCTAGGGAAAGTTACTGAATAGCTAGTGCAGGGGAGACTGGGCTGCACAGTAAAAATACAAAGCCAAAAGGCATGTTGAAGAGAGCGTGAGAAAGCAGGCTTTTGTCTTAGTAGAATGGTCACTTCCTCATCACCATGCCTTCTCCAGTCAGACCAAACAACCTGCAGGTTACAATACCTAACACTCTTCCATAACTCAGTGCCTTTGACTGTAGGGCATGCTATTCAAAGATCACCTCCACCCATTTTCAACTTTGTGAATTTCCATTATTTCCCCATGATTCACCTCAAACAATTCCCATGTGGAAACTCCCTTCACTTTCTTTCTATTTCAATAGTTCACTGTCTATCCTCATATTACAACAACTAATCCATTGCTTATTGAAACTGCCTATTTGCTGGGATTGTCCTCTTGAAGCCAGGGACTATGGTTCCTCACCCTCACACCCCTAGTATCACATACAGTGCCTGGCACTTTAGAAACACAGAAAACAATGTTTGCTTGTGTTTTAATAAAGGCTGTACTTATAGCAGTGGGAGCAAATGGATAACAATACTGACAAAGGAATATTATTTGGTAGTGTTATAAATTAAGAAATAAGATTTGATTATCTGTAATCTAAAATAAATGTTAAAGATGACATCCAGCTTAAGAGCTTAAGCTATGTTAATATGTTTAAAATGGTATCAAAATGAATGGGGATTACTGTTTTGTTTTTAGTGTTGTATTTGCATACACTATATTGCCATACTATTTCCTCCCCCAGTTACTTTCTCACATTTCTTCTTTCACATCTGTGGACTCCCTTTTTTCTAATTATCACTTGTGATATAAAATTTAAAAAATATTAAAAAGATAGGTTGTAGAAAATGAATGGACTCTAGGTTAAAGACTTGGATAAAAGTTATATGAAAAACTAGCCAGGAGGAACTTAACTGTCTTAGAAGAAACAAAGTTGATGAACACATCAAAAATTGCAATGTAAATGGAGAATGTTTCAATAAAATCCTTATATTAGTAAGAAAAAATAGAAAACAATAAAACACCATGGTTCAATATTACAATACCTTGAGAACACAATCTTAAAGACAGCTATTAGTGTAAATGATCAGACAGACTAAGATAAAAGGACATAACTGTTGTCAAGAGAGGTGGATGGCAAAAGCCAGCATGGTAGATGACCTTGGTATATCTGAGAAATAGAAAGGTCCAGTTAATGAGGGCAAAATGCTGTTTTAATGTGCGTAAATACACAGGTTGATGTTCAAACCTGAGTTGAAATATACAAAGCTTTTAATTGCGATAAATCTCCAAATGTATTTCTGTGGTTCTGATACGAATGCAAATGGATATTTAATCCACAATAAAATCTAAGATCTTCTAGGAGATAGCAGAACTTGAGCAACACGAGGTATCCCATGCTGATCACACTTAGATGTACTTCTACTGTGAACTCACAGGAGCAATTAGATTGGCTGTGAAGGGGATTCTAGAGCAGGAACAAAAGTGACAGTCAAGGGTGAAGACTACACTTATCTTTGGATTTAAGGACAAATGCTTATAGACTGTTATTAGGGGATTATGCCAGGTTAGTGAATTAGTGGCTGCCGATTCTCCTCCAATAACCATGACTTCATTAGCACTGAGTAGTTAGCTAAGCTCCAGTACCAGGCATGTGTTCCCTTTTGTTGAGCATATCTTAAGTATAATTAGAGAGCTTTTGGTTACCAATAAGGTATACATGCCACTATTGCACCCTGAGGGTTACTGTACCATGTTGGTCACTAATGTGGTTCACAGACATCAGAGCTGGGTAGGGCTGTTGGCTACAGCTTTCCTTTGCAACAGCTTGGTGACTGCCATCAGAGGAACCTCAGCATAAATCATTGCCGACTTAAATGTTACTTGCAATTTACCAATGTCTTTAAGTGCAAAAGGTCCCATGTATGACTAAAAGCAAGGAACTGCACGTACTTTTAGACAAAACTGAGAAAAACTGAAGCAGAATTTTCATGAAAATATAGAATGCATGTTACCAATAGGTTAGAGGCTCTACTGCAGACACTTACATTCTATGCTACGTAACATTTTCTATTTGTGTGAAGGATATCAATAATAACAAAACTCTTCTTGGTTGTGGGAATTTTTAAATTTTATTTTTATTTTAAACATAAATCTGATCCTAATATTGGGACTAAGGAATCATGGTTCAACAGAAACTATCATTTGAAACGAGGTAACTAACACTTATTCAGTGAAAATCTAAGTCAATTCTGTTCATTGCAATGGAGAATTATCACTTACACAAAATAAGATCTGAAAAAGTAAAATAAAATGATTGTAGAAGTTGGAATATAATAATACTAATTCTCTACAAATCAGTGGGAAATTCTGTATTGGCTTACAAATGAAAATCTTTTGTAATATCAGAAGAGAAGTGTTCAACTCCATGAGATAAATGTTGGTATTGGACTTATATTGATTAACATACTTTTATTTAAAATCACAGTATGATTTTTCATGTTGTGACTTCATCATTGCAAACAGTAATTATACTCTAATTAAGAACTCTTGTTTTATTAGACTATTTAGATTTTCAGGTAACAATGTGAATTCTTTCTTAGAACATATCTGATCACCCCAAGGAAACGGTGTGATAAAACTATTATGTGCCTTTTAGTTTCCATAACTTAAAAAACAAGATTACCTACACCTGTGCTACCACCTGTTACCAACATCACTAAATCCATTCCACAAACACCCAAGTGGATGGAAACCTAGAACAGTTTGGAGAATTTTCAGCTAAACAATGGTGTGGAAGGTTTAACTGTATGAAATTCAATAACTTCTTACTAAAATGTGTAAGGAAAGTATATCTAAGTCTACCAAAAATACAAACAGCATATTTACACATAACACACTTCTTGAAAAGCTGGATCCAGTGGTCTTCTTGAACACTTGAGTAAGAAATTCTCAAAGGCATATTTTAAGGAGGTTTCAGCAACAGAATTTCTGTAATTGCCCACTTTATCTGACAAGATTTGGAAGTTTTATCCTTTGTATTATTATTCATAATGACAAACACTGTCAAATGTGAAATTTATAAACTTGTGGAATTACTTTCAGCAGAAAGATTGAAAAAAATAAATGTTATACTCCCAATAAAACAAACTGCTAAATTATTACTCACGGTTGTTTTTCAACATACTTTTCTTCTTCTTTGTGGAGATAGGGTAGAATGAGAATTTCTTAAGACCAAACCCAAGTCCTCATTATGAGTAATACACCAGCCTCAAGGGTCTACCATTCTTAAACTTTTTTATTGAAGTGGAGTCGTTCAATTTTAGTAGTAATTTAGGATGTAGTGAGGGGCTGAGATTTGAGGGAAGTGTCTAGTTTCTTTATAGTTCAATAATAGTGCTGCTTCTAATTCAAACATGAACTCTTTCCAATTTGGGTCATCAAATTTCTTGCCTTCTGCTATTGGTAAGATATTACAAAGTTACTGATTTAGAAGAGAAAAAAAAAACAATTTTAATTTGATAAAACCAGCTATGGAAGCACTTTCTGTTATAGAGACTCTTTCTTAAGAGTAAGTGAATAAATGCCTTTTTGAAAATTTTACTTTATTAGAGAGAATTTAGCCTAAGTATAAAAAATGTTAAATCACCCTGTTTACTAAAACTGGCTAATAGGCCTTCTGGGAGTCTAGGGTAGGGGTTGGGTAGAGGAGAACAACAACAATAAAAAATAAGATAAAATAAAAAAGAAACAATGATAATTAAAAATTGTTCTTAATATTCTGGGATAGAGTTTAAAGATCCATATTGATATACTTGAAAAGATAAATCCCTGCATTTAATTTTTATTAAATACATTATTGCATTTAATACATTGTTTTCACACTCATATACACATACAAAAGTAAGGAGGTCTTAGAAACATGTTTATAATCTAAATATACCTATATATAATACTGTGAAATAAAAATCTGAATAAAAATTTTATTCCAACAACATTTCTCTATTTTCAATTTTGTTTATTGTTTTAAGTCTTTTTTTAAATCACAGTAGAAATTAACTTATGCTTAATCATCCAGTTAGTGCCTATTGTCAACTTCATCAAATGCCAAAATGTAGAATCAACTCATTCATACACTCTATGTCCTGCTACCATCCCACCATTCACTGCCTGACTTCTTTCCTCTTAATGGCAACATTGTGATAAGATTGTGAAAAGGTGTAACTAACAGGTTTGTATATATACCATTTCTTCAAGTATTCAGAAAGCAGTACATTTGATGCATTGTGCATTAGAAAACTATTGATGATATTACTTCTAAGTATCTGAGAGTGGCTCCTGGTGGGAGTGTCATAAAGTTGTATGTCATAGTGTATGACAAGGATTTACAGCATTCTAGATTTCTCACAACTCTTCCATGTTAGTGAATGACATTAATATTTCATTTCTCTACTCTCAAGTGTCAAATGTGGGATTTCCAACCACAAATAAATAAAGCACATACTCCGCATGTGTAGTGCAAATGCTCAGTAAACAGAGTGACATGGAATAGGCCTATAGCTGTCATCTAGTAAGTGGCTCATCAGGGAGGTCCTGATTTTGTGAAGGTTGTGACTCATCTCCCTGTTCCAAATGAATACTGTCACTGTCCCATGTCAGACACAGTGACATCAAAGGCTGCTGAGCTGGGTTGATGGAGTGAGGGAATGGAACTCATCTGCACAATGGGTGGCACAATTCCTGTCACTTCTGTGTAGCATGTCGAGTCTGATTTACTGACAAAACTTCAAACCCCTGCAGACAAAGCAGGTACCAATCAGGAGATTCATAAATGTTCTGCTTAAAAGAATCATGTTGGCACCTATATACTAGATTGTGTGACCCAGACAACATCAGGAATGAAAGGTGGTATTTTAAAGTTAAAATTTTAGAATGGTGACACCTGAATATTCAAAACTTAAATTATGGAATATCCAACAGTCACATAAACATTCAAACAATGGCCCTGCTTCCAATTGCCATGTGAGCAATAATCTTTAGTACTCTGAACAAAAGTAAGCTTTCTTGCTTTGTCTTAACTATACGTTAACATGTTATTTACCAAAACAAGACAAGAAAATTAGAAAATTCTTCCAGGGGAAAATTATTGGTAGGAGAAAACATAAGCAAAATGTGAAAAACAATTCATTCATTTACTTCATTACATGTTTTCCTCCACAAGAATCCATAGTCATTAGGAAGGACATATACAAAACAAACAAATAAAAAAATCTATAATAAACAACAATACAAAAATTGTGCCACCCATCTTTTCACTTGCCCCCTTTGAATTTTGAGGGAATCAGTCTTTGAAGGTAGAATTCAAAGTTCACATATGTTAAACACTGGCAGAGAAACATTTGGGTCCTGTCTTCCTACTCCATTCCTGAATATGTTGTACTTTCAACAAATACAAGCCAAAACTCACTGATATAGGAATAGGAAACACACATACACACATCTTACTAAGAAAAAAGACACCATTCCTCACCTATAATAGACATGTAACATTTAAAACTAAGGTCTGACACAATCACTTAATTGATTTAAATAATTAAGGCTTCTAAATGGTTCAGTGCCAACTTTCTGCATCAGTATTTGAATAAAATACATTTTTTGCATTTAGGGTTGTGCTCTTTACAGATATCTTATCCATGGCATTTCATTAGTAAGGTCTGATGAGGGAGTATTAGAATTGTTTGCTGACATTTAGTTTTAGTAGCTGTTAGACTAAAGTATAGCAATTCAAACTCAATGACCGAACAGATTTGTTCCCATTTCCTGGGCTGTTAGCTCATTTTACCTTCTTTTCATGTTTAATATGACCATTTCCTTTGTATTTGCCATTGGGGATTCCATTTTGGTAATGTCCATTTACTGTGCTATGCTTATTTCTAGACCACAGACTTTTGATTTTTCTATAGATAAATTTTGTCACACAGGACAAAATGAAGTAGAACAAGGCAGCACCAAGCAAAAGCACAAAGGCAATATCCAGTAGAAAATACTGACAGAAAGAAATCTGATGAACAGCTGAACGGAGGTGATGGGCTCCATCATGGCGAAGAATGTAGTCTATCCAATAGGTAGTCCGATTGACAGGGTGGCCAGGTTGATCCTTATGAATTTCTGATAACTTCTGAGCCCTCTGCCGATAGCTGCAGTGGGGGGAAAAACAAAAAAACATGATATAATCATGTACACACACGTTCTCTACTGATGGTTATCTCAATTTAGAAATGTGTGAAATGACTGATATTCTTCTTTAAGTACCTAAGTGTGCTCCAGGAACTGGGTTAAATGTTTTGAATACTTATAGTATCTCTGTAAGTTTCAAGCTAGTGAGGAAAAGCAAACCCAGAGACCCAGCATCTTGAAAAGATTCCATGATGAGAGGCAGATGTATATTTCCTGACCCAAGCTTTTCCCACACCACATCACACACATTACTCATCAGAAATTGCCAAATGCTGTTAACCAACGTATCTTTTCAAAAAAGAGACATTTTCAAGTTCTATGAAAATGACAGAGAAAAACGCTGATGTTTTTCATACCAGTTCTTAAAAAAGTAGTGTCATTTAGTCACATTAAAGCCAAAATAAACGATGGTGTGAGAATGTTATTTTAAGCAGAAGAAAAGGGGTTTGAGGAGCACTATGATATGATGTATGACACTATATGTAATATAAACATGAATGTAGGCAAGCATGTACATGACTACAAAAACTTTCTTAAGTGGTTAGTTAAAAAACAGGTAAAGTGATAAAATGTAAACATTTTATTTTAATTTAAATTGCATAATTATACATTCGAGGGACACTCTGACAGTCTGTTTGAGTACAGGGCCCTGACAGAAGATTATACTGTTTAGACAAAAAAAAATAAGTTCTACTTCAAAAAAATAAAAATATCACAAAGGATATGTATGGCTCTTAGTGCCTTACAAAATTTTAGGCATATGTGAAGACCTGGCATGCTAAAGGTGGAATGTAAAGAATAAGAAAGCTGAGAGAGCAGGTGCATTCCAAGGGTAAATCCATTCACAAGCAGTATGCAAAACAAGGGATATCTGGTCAAATTTCTCAAGCCTGTACTGAATGATAAATTATGTAGCTTAAATCATAGAACCAAATAGCCAATAGACATAGAAATGGCTAGTATACTAGAGAAGAAGATAGTGATGGTAAGGGGTACATGAAAAAGACCACATGAGCAGTAAAAGGTGAGAGTAGGCTCAACCAGATGGGGGCAAATGGTAGAGTGAAAAAGTTGGTAGGAGTTGGCAAGATCCTGGATTCATTGTGAAAGTAAGTAAAGAAGTCAGAAGCAACTGTAATTCTTGCAACCTGCCAGACTATGGCAGATCCAATGAACAGTAAGCACCCCAAGGTGCAGAGCACTAGCCATAGTGTGGCCCGTACGGGATGTGATGAAAGGAGGATCCAGAGAGTGGGAGGAGCTCTAAGATGTTATTGCCTATCTAAAAGGCTACAGTGCTGCATGAGTTGATGTGATGTTCCTTTTGTGATGTAGCTGTAGCCCTACATATTTTGCTTATAATAGGCATGGCAACAAATCGGGGAATTGAATAGGAATTTAGGACTGAGGTAGGTAGCAACCCAAGACAATCACTTGTAGGCCTTTTCATTTCAATGTGACAGGAGGATGTAGCTTTTAAAGGTACATTTACAATGTCATCAGGATTTCTTCTATAATGAATCTAGATGTAAATGACCTAAAGTGTTCACCCAAATATTGAGAGCGCATCCATATCTTGCTTTACATTGTATCATGCTTTCTAGCTGATGGCAAGAGAAAATGGATTTCCTCTTACTCTATTTTACTAATATATATATGTGTGCGTGTGTGTGTGTGTGTGTGTGTGTGTATATACATATATATATACATATACACACACACATATGTATATATATATATGTATATATATACATATATATATATACACACACACACACACGCACACATATATGTGTGTGTGAGTGTGTATAAATATATGCATATGGGTAAACAATTATCCTTCAAATAGAAAATGAAGAATATCCTAGATATTTCTCCTTCTTGAAAGTAATGAAATCACATTATATTTCATGAATTTATGAAAAAATATCTCATAGTAAAAGTTGACTTTGTGTTAGATAATTGAAATTATAAAGATCAGTTCACCTTTGTTTATTGCTTTCTCTAGAATGATAGTGTTTCCAGACTTATAAGGATTCTTCCACACAAAGTAGTGGGTTTTCATTAAACAAAACCAAGGGACTAGGTACTAAGGGACCAGGTAAAGGAAGTAGGATTATAATAATATCACGAAGGTTTTATGTTAAAAAAATTAACCCCAAACAACAAAACTTTCTTTAGCAAGAGTGGTTACTTGCCTTAAACTAGAATATCTTGAATATAATGATAATGAGGATAATTAGTCTTTTAAATAATGATTTCACTATAAATGTGGAATATCTGCCATACATCTGAAGTAATTTGCTCCAGTTTGCATACTGACTTTTAAGGAATGGCACATATCATTGCTAGTTCTATATTATGCAAGGCATTTTTATACCTATTATATCCTTCAAGATTCTGCAGTTAAGATTTCATTGCAATGTAATGAGTACAGCCTGATCTTTTTCTAATTCATGCTGGCTCACACCTCAGAGAACACTGTTAAGCTGAACTGGGAATACAGCTCATGGAAGAGTGCTTGCCCGGCATGTGCAAGCCCCTGGGTTCAACCTTCAGTGCCACAAAACAAACACACAAACCACCTTGCCGAACCACTTTCTGTAAATGTTTGTATATAATGATCCAATGTTAGCAGCTCTCCAACTTGCCTACATCAAACCCTTCCTTCAGATTTTGCAGGCCTATATGAAAATATTTTCCAAACAGCATATCTTGAAATTCATGATGTCTAACAAGGAAAACTACAGATTATAGAAAGAGTAGTATGCAGAAGCCTGAGGCACAGAGCATACTGCTCCAGGTACCACATTTGTGACCGAGACATTTGTAATTTTAAGGGGCCACAGATGAGTACCATCTCTGTGCCCACGAAAAGCAGCATAATGAACCTTGGATGTTTAAAAATTTTTGTAAGTAAGCTTCAAATAATTTTTTTTAAGAAAACATTTTCTTATGTGGCATTCCTTCGGATATAGCAACAATTCTCAACTCAGGGTTTAGCCATCTCCCCCAGGTAAAAACAGAAATTACTCTCCTCAGCTACTTAATGTCATCTGAAGCACACGATAAACTAAACATCATGTCTTCAAATGAAGAAAATCGCTGCTTTGTTTAAATCTACCCAGGGCAGCTGCCCACTGAGACTTATTTGTGAAGTGGGTTAACTCAGGACACATCAAGAATTTAAAAGGCAAAATAAAGATTCTAATTCATCATTCACATGAGCAAACACATCTCAGCAATGGCTAGTGCTGGGAAAGCCAGCAGCACGTGATTGCCAGTCAGGATGAAGAGCTCTGTTAGGAATCAGCTAAGTCTGTCTTCAGTTCATATTTGAATAGCTATGCGACCGTAGGCAAATTACTGAAGCTCTTGGAGCTTCAAGTGCCTCATTTCTATACTAAGAATAGCAGAAGTTCTAATACAAGGTATCAGCAAGGGTGATGACTGATCACTGTCAACTTGAGTGGGTTTAGAATTCCCTAAGAAACGTATTTTTGAGTATGTATGTAAGATCAGTTGCAGGAGAGAACTGAGGAGGAAAAATAGGAATATAATAACATTGTTCCATGACTGGGGACTCAGAATGAGGAAAAAGAAAGCCAGAATGGTGCCAGTATTCTCCACTCTTGGCTTTCCTATCAAGATGTCAGGAAGCCCATGTGACCACAGCTGGACTGCTATCAGGCCTTCCCCTGGGTCAGCACGATATACCTTCCAACCACAGACCAAAATAAATTCTTCCTCCTCCAAGTCACATCTTCTCAAGTATTTGGTCACAGCCATGGCAAATATAACTAGTGCAATGAGTATCAAGGATACAAATGAGTATAAAAGATACAAATATGACACACTAGAGAGATCTGACAATAGATCCCTCCTTAGTTTTTCTGAAAAATCTTGGTGGCAAAAACCTCAGGGTTACAACTTGGATGACTAAATGGCTGATACATTTAACTTCAAAATTTTAGAAAACACACATAACAGTAATGTAAGGGATATCTCCATGGTGGACTTAGAGACAATTTCCTGCCAATATACTGTGTAAATAAATATGTGTCTAAGTGTATATATGTAAATATGTGATAAATGTTTATATACATAATGTCATCTGCCTTATATTAGCTGAAGCCTTACCTTGGATTATTGATAACCTTCACCAGCGCATCATACAACTCTCCTTCAGTAACTGTTTTCCATTCTAACAAGATCCCCATGCCTTTTGCCTGTACTCGAGTCATAGTATCATAATGGTCTCCAAAAAGTGGAATTCCCACTACAGGGACACCATGATACATAGTTTCAAAAATGCTGTTCAAACCACCATGGCTTAGGAAGGCTTTGATGTTTGAATGACCTAAAAGATAAAAAGGAAACAACTTACATCACTACTCTAGATTTATCCAGAGCTTAACACTATACAGTAAACATGCATTTCAGAAAGTGAATTTTTAAAGTGGTAATTTCACTGATCCATTATTTACATTAATTAAAATGTCTGTTACATGTATCAACTGAAAGTCCTTTTTAGGTAATTTAAACATACAACATTAATCATAAAATATATGGCAACGTTCTCTCAAACATAACTAGCAACACAAACTAATTGCTAATAATAAGGAGAAAGTCAATGAGGGCATCAACTGTAAAAGATATATATCATATCATATAATATTTAGCCATCATGGGAGCAGAAAGGCTAGCTTGTTAAAATTTTAATGAGGTATACCCCCTAGGTAAATGGCCTGTATTTAATAAGAGGAATGAAAAACTTGCATAAGAAGTGCAAGAAAAATAAACAGTGTGTTTAGGAAATGTGTTTTTAGCAATATATAATTATTGGTTGCAGAAATACTAATCTCACCAGGTACAGAACTGTGTACCAACTGCAGTATCAATGAGCTCTCAGTACATCTCTGTTGTATAGATAGTGTCTACTCCTGATCTCAGATTAAATAAAGGATCAGGTTGAAAAGCATTTCTTGGCACCAGAACTCCTTAGTTTAACAAAACCTGTACTACCAAGTCCAGCATTGAAAAATCAAGTAGAGCTGGCATCTGAAGAAAAGGGTGACTCTATGGGGTGAAGGGAGAGGACAGTGATTTGTTGCCTACTTTTTGTCCTGGATGAATCTTTGATTATGGAAGTCATCACAACCCCTGCAGAGGTGATACTCAGAGTAATAGCAAAGCACTAATCTTGGAAAAGTCAGAATACTGAGACAAGAAGAACCTGGGGGAGTCTTGAAGAAGTCTTCCTCACATACCACTAAAAAGCTGCAATTTGCTACAGTCCCACATTTAAAACTCAAATATTTCTAGGTGAAAGTGTCATATTGTTGTACTGAGTTAGCTAATGGCCAACTTTTCTATGGGATTCTTCTTTTTTTTCCCCTACCTTGGATGGATTCAGAGATTACAGTAACAGCCAGAATAATAAAGAAAAAAAATTGGGAAAAGAAAATTCTTGTGTTTATTTTTGCTCAGTTTTATTTACTACATTTAGAATGAGCTAGGTAGAGAGGACCCATATATAAAAGCTATTCACCATTTTATATTGAAAAACTGAAATTGCTTGCTCTATGACCTGAAGATATAGTGCGAAGGTGCAGGGCACTGTGAATAGTGCTTACTGATCAGGTGTGAGGTCCTGGGTTCAATACACACACACACACACACACACACACACACACACACACACACACACACACACAATTATTTAACTATTCCTAAAATTCCAGCACTTAGGATGTAGAAGTAAAACTTCAAAGCTACACAGTTGAGTGCAAGAAAAATTTGGGTTAGATGATAGACTATCTTTAAAAACAACAACAATAAGAATGGAAAATAAAATAAAATGTCTGACTTGTAGGGCCACTGTAGCATCCAGAAAGCATATTTTAAAATAAGTATAATCTTAAATTTTAATTTTAAAGCATTTAAAGGTTGTTACTAGTGTTTTAAGATTAATTATTTTAAAATGTCATTTTATTTTATATTTGGCATTAATATTATTATATAAATGGTTTCTAATACTACTGAGATCAACAGCTTTCTTATTATTTCCTTAATACACATTAAGGGGATGATAGTACACTGGGTATCTCAGAAATTTAATGAAAAAATTGTTTATTTTACTGTCTGTACTCATTAAACAAAGTAAAATACTTTATACTTAGGCATACTTCAAAGATAAGCACATAATCAATATTATTTTAATTTTGTGTTGAAGACCAAAATCACAACAAATAAAAATTTAAAGCAAATGTTTATTAAAATTCTTAGTAATTTAGGAAGAATTAAAGCAATTGATCAAATTAAACTTAAATCAATTATTTCCCTGGTTTTGGCTTTTCTTTGGTTTCAGACAATCAAATAACTCCCAATTATCTAGGGCTTACATAAATCTGTAAATGACTATAACATCAGTGTATGCTTTTTATGTTTAAATTTTACTACTTTTACCAATTAACCTAATCAACTATAGCATTATTTACTACTAATAACTTATACAATTTAATGTGTATTTTATGGAAAATTGAAATTGGATGATTGTTTAAATTTTTTAATTATAGATTCCAGTGGTTACATTTTACCATTGATTTTCCAACAAATAAAATTCTTAATCACTGGTCTGAATTTTAGGAATTGAAGGACTAAATTAAGAATGAGTCTACCGGAAACCATGCACACATTTTCCAAAGCATTTAAGAGCTAACATTATGGTTACTGAATATCAGTTAATTAAGTGCAGCCACTGACTTACCAAGCAGGTCATTCTGAGGCAACCATTCTATGAGCTTCGTGTTGTTTCCTAGATTCTTTGGTTTAGTTCCAGAAAACCTAAAATGAATACCAGACAATGGGTCTTTCCAAAATAAAGACTTAGGACATGGGTTAATTTTGTAGACTTACAAGTGTTATGTTACATGATAAATTACTGAAATTTTGGTTTTGTATCAATAAAAATGTGCTTCACTTTCTTTATAATAAAGTATTCTACAATATTCCAAATATAATAAAATATTCCACAGATAGACAGATATGATAGAATTTTCTCATAGTCTATTTTCCATTTGCTCTTCTAAGAGACATACATAAGAGATGGGGGGGACCCAAATGAATGTTTGCTGAATTTAATTCCATTCAAGTACCCAGGGAGAAGAGAAACGACTACCACCGGGCTGTCACTAGCCACCATCCTTCCCATCCAGTGCCAACACTGAAAGACAGCGGGAAGTATGCTTCAAACCAGAGAGACTGGCAGAGCAAAGCACAGAGTTAAGCTGTTCCCTCTGTGGTGAACCTCAAACGTGTCTCAGAGCTAAGAGGATGACAAGAGTCTGATGTTACCAAACAGAACTGTCCTCAATAAAGCATAAGGAAGCTCTGGGCTAAAGCTTGATGGAGAGATCTCAATGGAACTACAGTCAGAAGGGGAAAGATCTGCTCAGAACACAGTTATTGATCATTCCCTAGCCCAGCCTCACACAATGTTATGAAGGTAAAAACCTAGACAATTCAATAATAGCTTGGGAGATCCTTTTTCCTTATTGCAGAGTTGTGTTCACTATGATATCCCTAGACCTCCAAAATAGTGGTAAATGCAAACAAATTCTTGCTCAACAAAGTATGCAGGTCTGACAACTCGCTGCAGTGCCTTTAGGAAGCCGAGACGTATCTTAGAGTCTATCTTAACCAGTATTAATTATCTGATAATTTAACGAGTTTCAGAAGCTCAGTCTCTCATATTAAGTCTGGAAATACCAATTATGGTGATAATTTATTTGTACTAAAATGTTATTTGTATGTTAATAAATAAAGTTGCCCGTGGGTCAGAGCTATTAGCAAGCCATAGGAAAGCTGGGCGGTGGTGGTGCACGCCTTTAATCACAGCACTTGGTAGGCAGAGCTAGGTAGATCTCTGTGTTTAAGGATACAGCCAGCATTGGAGACACACGCCTTTAATCTCAATACCAACCAGAGAAGACCTGGACGTCTATATAGACAGGCAGTGACAAGGCGGTCATATGGTGGGGTTTACAACCAATGAGAAGGCAGAACAGAAAGTCTTTATAAAGACAAAAACACAGGAAGTAGCTCTCTTTCAGAGAGGTAGGACCACCGTGAAAGGAAGGATAAGGTTTTTAGCTCTTAGCTCTGACCTCTTGGCTTTCTTCTTTGCATTGGTTCTGTGTTTCTTATTTAATAAGACAGTTGGTTATATCTACAACCAATAAAGGCAAGAGAATACAATGAGAGTACAAAGTACCTAAATTAATGAAGTATTTAAATTATTCACTCATTCATCATTATGTACCTTATTCCAAACTGATTTGAAGAAATATAGAGTCAGGCATGAAATTACAACTAAATTTTTTAAACAAGAAAAAATGAGGGCTTAATCTGAAGGAAAAATAAAACTGTATCCAACATAGACTATATCATTCCGCATCATATATTCTTTCTATGTAGTTATTTTTAATCAATCACAGACCTTTATGAATTAATTATTGATTTCAATGCATTAAAAACAAAATGAAACCTCAAGATCATCTAATCTAGCCAGTGAATCAATGTTCCATGCTCCAATGTTCCATGGTGTGAATATTAAATAAAAAGAAATTTGGACTCAACAGCAAAAAACCAACCTAAATTACCACGATCTTACCTCCAAATCACTTTTTGAGGCAATCTCCCCAGAGCTCCAGCCAGTTTGTAAGCAATGTCTTCTGACAGATACTTGACACCAGCTCCAAAAGACACCAGGACAAAGCCATGTTCCTGAGCACCATTTACCCAACTCTGCAGATCCTAGAATAGAAACATGGAAGGCAAGTTTAAGAAGACCAATACAGTTCAGTCAGGAGCATCAAAATATGCTTTGAAAAAATCTTCAGGTAATTTCCTTAAACAAGAAAACAAAAGGAGATAGTATATGGCATTTTCTACTAAAAACAGCAAGCTACTTTAAAAGATTTATTTCAGGGGGCAGAGAGATTGTTTAGCCATTAAGAGCACTTGTCCCTTTTACAGAGAACCTGGGTTCAGTTCCCAAAACCCACACACAACTTACAACTGTCCATAGCTATATTTTCTGGGGATATCGCACTCACTTCTGACCTCTGCTCGTTAACAGGCATGCACATGTAGGGAAAACACTCACACACCTAAAATAAATGAAATGAAAAAATACTTCTTCTGACAATGCTCATCAAACTAGGATGGCATATGTTGTTTGTTTGTCTGTCTTCCTTAAGGTCAGTGAGTAACAACCCAAATAAACCAATAGCTAATAGTATAAGACCCTAAAAGTTCTAATAGTTAAACCATAGTTAGAGAGAGATGTAAGAATATGAGCAAAAGATTCAGTTAGACCATGTGACAAACCCTACAACCAAACTCCTCAATGAATCCTCCAGACTTTTGCTGGGATGGATAATTTGTACTAAAAATGAAAGCAGTCCTGTACATAGGCACCACTCCCAGCAGCTGGGTTCTAAAAGCACAAGTCTTATGTTACTGGTGGGTCGTCTATGTGAATGAATCTTTCTCAAAGACATGGAAGCTGTTCAGTGTGAACACTAACAGGTCCAGTGCATTTGAGGGCATGTAAGACTCTCCTAAGGACAACCCTGCTGTCTACTGACTGTATCCCATAGGTAGTCATAAAAACAAGGGTGTGACCTAGTTTTGTAGGAGTGTTTGTGGTGCAGAGCCTGCTGTCAAGGCCACTGCACAGCTCCTGCCTTTCTGTTCAGTATCAGTGGATTGTTGTCTTCTGTCAATGTGGGTTACAGTTTCATACCACTTTCTAGAGCACACACTGACCACAGCCAAAGAGCACTACATGGTAAGAATCATGGCATGTTGGTACCATGGCTCATAAAGGGAACATGTGACCTACATGTCTTTTTTTTATTTAATGATACTTGTATAAAGAGGCTTTATGACATTTCACTCCTAGAGACAGAAAGGTAGGACCACAGCTGATATCTCAAATGACTTAAGAGAATCCAAAAACTGCAAGACAGAGAGCGATGATGGTAAGATGGTAGATCCTGTAGTCAGTGAAGAAAACACACTGTGATGATTGGGTAGACACAAATCTTAAACATTATTTTCTAAGAAATTTGATTTATAAGTGTATAAAAGAAACAGAGGCTGTCTCAACTTAGGATCAGAACCACTAATTTATCTTTTGCTACATTACTAAGCCTTATTTCACATGCTGAAAATATGAGCATGATATCTGTTGATTCTAAGTAAGAAGGAGAAAAAAAATCTATTCACAGTTTAAATTTTACACACAACACTAAGGCAGATATGCCTAACACAATGCTAAAAATGCTACATGGAGAATGCGTGAAATGTGTCATCTTTTCCCTATGTCTTGCCTTTAGGCAATTTACCACTTACCACTCAATTTTAAGATCAATGAGATTAGCAAAAAGTTTACTCAGAGGCAGGTGGCCTTACAGTAATGGTATCATTTAAGTGTTCTTTCACATAGACTTGAAAGGTCATAGAGTTTTAGTGAACTCCATGCAATGAAAGTTTCTCCAGATTTTATTCCGCATGATGTAAAATGAAACCCACACATCTACATTTTTTTCTCCCTTTTACTACAATAATTATTAACCATGGTAAGAATTTTTTGTTTAGTTTTCACTAACAGGCAAGCAAGTAGAAAAAGTTGTAATCAGCATGGTTGCCTACATGAAAAGTAGTCAGTATTTTCAGTAGATAACACTTCACTTGGCTTACAAGGGGCAGTGTGGCTTCAAGTTGGTATTCAACTGGGATGGAGGTAAAATAGATGAGGGAATGTCCAGAGTACAAATGGGGAGAGAGTGAATACCTGGCTTCTCCTTGATGAAATCCTCCTTCTCTATAGGGTTTCCAATCTTCACAAGTGCACAGAATATTTAACTGACAGATGTACAGTAGGAACACTGAAAGGATTGAGTTTTGGATTTGGCTAAAAACTCACCCCGAAAACATGAACACATGTGAGCTAGAGGTTATGATGATATTAAGGCTTCTAAGTCCATAGTAAAGACTTTGAAAATAGAAATTCATGAAATGATGCCTCTATCTCCAATGGGCTGGGAAGCCCTAGATGTCATTATACATATATACTACCTTCCAGAATTTAAGAACTCATCAATGATATAGTCCAAATCATTTTGTAGTTCTTTACTAAAATTAATTTCAAGATAAAGATGTGTAATATTAAAAAACCCTTAGTGCAGAAACTTAGTATTATAAAACATAAAAGTATTTAGAAACTTCCTAACTCCTGCAAAGAAAATACTAAATTAGAAAAAAAAAGACTAAAACTTTATTTATTTTTAACACCAACAGCATCCATAGATATAGAAGAAGAAACTAAACTGAAATGTGTAAAACACACTTGAAGAAAACTTTAATAAACACAAACCTTAAGAAACACATGTGAAAACTTTAATAAAGGACAAAAGGAAGGTAAGAATAAAGATAGAGCCGGGCGGTGGTGGCGCACGCCTTTAATCCCAGCACTCGGGAGGCAGAGCCAGGTGGATCTCTGTGAGTTCGAGGCCAGCCTGGACTACCAAGTGAGTCCCAGGAAAGGCGCAAAGCTACACAGAGAAACCCTGTCTCGAAAAACCAAAAAAAAAAAAAAAAAAAAGAATAAAGATAGAGTAATAGTATGCTTGAATTGCAAATATTGTTAGGATGATGCCAATTTTTATTTAAAAAAAAAAACCTGAATGTATTATATCAACAGTACATTTTCCAAGGGAATTTATGAGACATTAAAAGAAAGTTAAAGCTTCAGAAAACAAAATAGGAGGCTGGAGAGATGCCAACTGGTAAACTCCCTGCTGTGCTAATACAAAGACCTATGTTGAAATCCATAGCTAGGCATAGCAGTGCATGCCTATAATACCAGTGGTGGGAAAGTGTATAAAGAAGCCTTTCTAGCCAAGTCACAAGAGACCCTGCTTCAAATAACAAGGTGAGGCATGACTGAAGAAGAGACCTGATGCCTGACACCGATCTTCACATGTACACGCACGCACGCACGCGCACACACACCACACAAACAATCATTTAAAAAATGAAAATGTGCCAGGTGGCAGTGGCTCACGCCTTTAATCCCAGCATTTGTGAGAGCCAGGTGGATCTCTATGGGTTCGACGTCAGCCTGGTCTACAGAGCAAGATCCAGGACAGGCACCAAAACTACACAGAGAAACCCTGTCTTGAAACTAAAAAATAAAAATGAAAATGAACAAAATGATGAAGAAACTTTGAAAAGCACAGGCAGTTCACTTTTCTAAGTATTAATATGTCCCCAGAGTCTAGAGCAATTATGACAGAGCAATGAAGACAGCTGATAGAGACAGACTGCTGTCAGATGTGAGCTAGGACTTCTCATGAGAGAGTAAAGGAGTTATACAAGTATAGGTCTAGTGAAAATATGAGGCTCTACACTTCCACAAAGCATGAATCACAGAAGGATAAAAAATGTTAAATTGAATTAAACAGGTGGTTGATCTGTAGACACAAAAGAATGCTTTTGTCATACTCTGGAAGGTCTTCCTGAGTCAGGGACACCAGAAATCACAAAAGGAACAGGCACAGCTCACTAAAGATCAGACTAGACTACAAAGAATGGAAGCAACAAAACAATAATTAAACTAGAAGGAATTTCCAACATATAACAAGGATTAACACAAAAACCAAATAAACAGAAATATCCATAAATGACTTAAGAAAACCGCCCCCAAAGATTGCTAAATTGCACAAACGTTCCAGAAAAACGCTTCACCTTACTTAAGAGGACCACAAACGCAAAATGTTTTCATATCATCTATAAGCATTCTATTAAACACAATATACCACAATTTAATCCATTTAACTTTAAACATTTACAGAACTTATTTAATGTTCACTTACTAAGCATTAAACTTTTACAATTTTTTTTCAACTTCTTTTTTTCAGAAAGGATACAATCACTTCAGTGGCCTCTGGGTTATTCAGCAATCTTTTCCCATTGTAAGATTATCACTCAAGTGATATTTCCTTTCAGTAATTCAGCAGTGTGAGCTCATTAGTATATCACCTTTCCATGCATTTAGAATTTAGCAACAGAATTTAATTTCCATGCATCTAGAATAATGAGGCGGAGTTCTATCACTAGCAATTCATTTGTTTTGAGAGAGGATCTTACTACGTAGTTCCTGATACTCTGATATTAGCCATGTAGCCCTGACTATCCTTAAGCAACCATCATCCCTTACCTTTCCATGTACACTACCATGCTTGTCCCCACCATTATTTTTAATCACCTCAGGAGTCAGCTTTCTCAGTACTATGTATTGAATACTCCATCTCTTCAGTGATTCAAATTGTCACCATCTCAGTTGCTTTCTAAATTCTCCTCTGTTCCACTTATCTGTCATCCCTGATAATTCTGATGTTTATTTAGTGTTACTTTATCATGTACTTTAAGTATTTGCATGGTTCAATTCCTCTCATTATATTTTATATTGTGATTAGGTTATTTGTACATTTGATATATTTAAATTACTTTTTAAAGTCAAAACTTACACTAACAACGTTACTTCTTGTGTGCATTGTGGGTATGTATGCACATATGCACAGAATATATATTCTGATTTCATCAAAAATGTACATTTAGAAATCACATCCATTCCTTTATATTCAGATGTCAGCACAGCATTGTACTTTATACCACCAGGTGGCATGGCAGGGACAGAGCAGAGAGGTTTGGCTTCGAACATCATTATGTCCAAGGTTAATACT